CACAACTTTGTGCATGTATCCATTGGCGTTGCTGCCCTCAGCGATGAGCGCACAGAGAAGACAGCACACGAAATTCGATTGGGTGAAAGTTTCCCCGGGCACTGCATACCTTTTGGTGCTCGGATCTTTTGGACATGCCTCAATCTCAAAATCAACAAGGAGACGGCGAAGTTTGAATAACATACTCGGGAACGGTTATTCATTGGTTACCACCTACACTCCGGTGGACGTTGGTCTGTAGATTATCTCGTCTTGGACACGGCTACATACGCCAAACACCTGGCGGCGACATGTGTCATGTGCACAGAGTCAAGGACATCATCATCCCGGACGGCAAGTTCACCTTTCCCTGTGAAGGGCGGCACCCTACGACACCACAACCCTGATGCACGCGACGAGGTCAAGGCAGCTACGTCTCGCCCCCTGGCGACACACCTCCGCCTGACCTACCGCTCACCTACCCGACAGAGTGGAATAACCCCTCTCTCATACCGCCGGACGTCAGTCCAGCTGCTGCCCATCCATCAGCTCCAGAAGTCGCTGCACCAGCGCCAGAGCCTGATTATTGGGAGCAGCGTGGATACTGCATCATCCGGCACATCCGTACCCCGCGAAAGAAGCTTTTCCGTCCGACGGACGATGTGATGAAAATTATTGTTCCTGTCGATCAGCTAGATGTCACAAAGGACTTCGAGACGACTTCTACCTTCGAGGGCGAGAGTGTCTTTCGAGACGTTTGGGACGGTGTTAGTGCCGCAGACCACCGTGAATTTAGTGAGCCATGGACCGGCCTGGCCTGGTTCGATTCTACGAGCTCCCCAAGATGTTGCCAGACGGCAAGATGGTGGTCCGCGGTCGTGAGACACGCGTTCAGGCTACTACGCGCCCAGACCACATCCTTCCCGAACATTGGAAGACTTTATCCCGAGGCCAACAGAAGAGAGAAATTGATTTCGCAGGAGACATCAAACGAGCCCGCGAGGTACGTGAGCGGGCTGCCCTTCGGGTGCGGACACACTAGGACCAACGAGCTAAAATCTTTCGCACTACAATGGCTGGTGGACCTACATGGAATACCGTGGAACGCCGTACTACCTATGATATGGACAGCGGAGCTGTCATTCGAGCCGAGGACGTCAAGGGCGTGACAAACAAGGAGATCCTCTATGTCAGAATTCCTGGTGGGCCACGCGACATTACCACAATATCATACTACCGCCAACCCTCAACATCGCCTGCCGGAGTTGCACGTTCTCTGGTATTGATCGACAGTGTGGGCTACGACGTCGGGCGTGTGAACCCGGCCAACCGCAAGTTGACCCCGTCGGTAGCAATGCCCACTATGCCACGTGGACCCGATTACGCACAGGCACACAAAGAAAAGCTACTTGCGCCATCATGGGCACGCCCTGCCCTGGTTACACGAAATCTGAACAAACGCGATGTTGCTGCTGAGCCACGAGCACAAGAGGCCCTACGCAAGGAACACGAACGCCTTGAGAAGAAACAGACATGGATGATCGAAACCGTTGCTGAAAAAAAGAAGACGTTGAGGCAGATGCGATTCGCATTGGGAAGGAAGTTCACTTCTTCAACATTTTGGAGCTCTCATCTGTGACATGAAGAATTTCCTCTGGAACTACGCAAGTTCAAAGGCCGCGTGGTGGTTCAGGGCAGCACTGGCAAAGACGAGACTGGCTTAGCTGCCATTTTCGCTGACGCGGCGCCCAGTGCGTCACACATTGGGGCTTCTAAGCTTTGTGACGCCACCGCCTTCTTGCCAAATTACGGCGGCGAACAGAGTGACGCGCCAGGCGCGTGCATTCAGGCCTTACTGTACGGAGACGGCCAGATTGACCCGGTCGATACGTGGATTACGCTCCCCAAGTGGCGTCAGCCTGACTCCTGGGCTCAACGCAGGAACCCAGTGCGCCGGCTCCGCTTGGCACTCTACGGACACCCCTTGGCAGGCGCGCTCTGGGAGCGCAATTGTCGCGCCTGCCTGGAGAGCATCGGTTTCGAGCCCATCTTTGGTTGGGAATGCGTGTGGAGACGCAAGAAACTGGGCCTGATACTCTTCGTATACGTGGACGACTTCAAGCTTGCGGGGCCCGCCGCCAAACTTCAGGCCGGCTGGGGCCTGGTCCGCTGGTGCGGCATCGAGCTCGATCCGCCTACGCCGTACTCTCAATACCTTGGCTGTGGACAACAGGCCCATGACGTTCCGCAGAGCGTCTTCGACCAGCGGACGGCTACCATTCGCGCAATGTTACCCAACCACAGCGAGCAATATTATCATACAGCTAAACCAGTTCGTGGTGTCCGACATGATTTGTTTGGTTTTGCCGATCAATGCATAGAGCGCTACCTTGAGTGCGCCTCCAAGCGCACCAAAAAGCCAGGCTCGCGCCGCAAACGCTCCGACTCCCCGAGGGCTTCGCGATCTACATCGCCTGGCTCTTCTGGGTCGGTCGCGAGACCCACTGGCGTGCTCAACGTTCGGTCGCGATCGTCCAGCCCAGCTGGGTCGGACGAGAGACCTACTGATCTGTCGCATACTACGACTGTCACTTACGACGACCTTCCCGCCGCAGGGACACCTGGTATCGAGGGCACTTCCTTTCTTGAGTCCGATTACTCTGACGAGGGCATCCTCGACCAGGACGCGGCGAGCGTGTCGTTGAAGATTCTCTACCTGGCACGATGCCGTCGTTTTGATATATTGCACCCGGTGTGCATGTTAGCCAGAGAGATTACCAAGTGGAACACTACGTGTGACAAACGCCTTCATCGGCTCATCCGCTACCCCAAGACGACTCGTACACACTTCTACATGGATGGGCCGGTGATTTTCAGGACCAGTTGTCCATCATGCTCTTCATTGATGCCTCTTCTGCCGACTGCATTTCTTCCTCTAAGTCCACCACAGTCGTCTTCGCAACGCTCGTTGGACCAAGCACATTCTTCCCCGTCAGTGCCGTGTGCAAGAAACAGACGGTCGTCTCTCACTCCTCCACGGAGTCCGAGATCGTCGCCTTCGGTCCGATCGAGAAGGGAGCATATTGGCAGCCTACTTGGTAGCTATCTTGGGGCCATTTTGGGGCCCTCATTGGGCCATCGTGGAGGACATCGACCAAAAAAGGGGGCGGGGCCGATGAGCGCCCCCCTCTAGAGCCCGAAAAGTTTCTTATTCGGGCCCTCTTGGGCCGCTCTTGGGACGCCCTCGAGGCCCAGGGAGGGGGGGGGGCGGAGAAGAACACCTCTTCTGGGATGGAAGCAGGATGTTGGCAGAAATGATTTGCCAAGCCACCGACGCCCAAAGTGCTGGTGGGCTGGGGGACTGGGGACTCAAACTCAGACAGGTGGCGAGGCCCGCGCATGGGGGCCAAGTCCTCAAAGAGAGCACGACAACGATGACGACGACGACGGCAGACGCTGAGACAGCGGCGGCCGGCATGCAACAGAAGTGGGCGCCGCAAAATGTTGGCTTGATCCAGGACTATACAAATTTAAACCGTCGCCCAGGAGGCACTCGCGGCAGCCGAAGCTTGCGCGCGGCGAGGGTCCCATGGGCGGTCACCGATTGTTTGCACCAAGGGTGGGCCAAACATTCGATGAACGCCGGGATCGGTGGGCGGCCTGCGAAACGGCACGAAAAACAACCACAAACCCACACAGACATGACCCCTAACGAGCCATGTAATCCTTTAGAATATGCATACTCAAGCACCTAGGGCCCACATGCATTGGAGGCCTGTTGTTTTTCGAGGTCATCCAAAACTTTGGGGCAGTGGACAGTTACTTGCCCCAAGTGTGCATCTGCACAGATACACCGTCCGTTTGTCAGTTTCGCTAATTTTAGTGATACTGGCCCTGTTTTTTTCACGGCCCGCCTGCTGCAATCACGTGCACTGAAGCATCATGACTAATCGCATGAGCGGCAGCACACGTCAGGACCAGTTGATCTGATCACGTGGCCGTTCCCCTCTGGGGCTCGACGTTCGGCGTTCGGAAGGACAAGTTTGTCCTGACTGGTCGCCCAGCAGGCTGCACAGCGATGCCTCGAAGTTCTCGCATGCCAGACTAAGTGGTGGCTCATCGCCGCGGGAGGAACCCAACCAGCAACCCAGGAGCAGGAGGACCCAAGGGCGAGGGCGTTGGGTTGGGACACTGTTCGAGTGATTTCAGGTCGTCAGACACCACATACAACAAACTTAACAAGGACTGCATGAGTAGTTTTGCTACTCTGAACTCGCGTCTGGGCTGTTTCGTCGACAGTGTGGTGAGCAGCTCCACGTTTAGCATACAGATCTGCAGCAGTATTCGCCCGAGTAAACCAGAAACGTTATGAACGATGGGTTTCACCTTATGTGGACGTGGTCATACTCGATACCCTTCGCCTTTTCATATGTTGCACGTTATATGTCCGCATCTACAGCCATGCCAGAACAGGACGCAGACACAGGAAGGTTGAACGAATCGATAACCCAGAGACGTCTTGGACGAGATTGGGATGAACACGGGCAATTGCAATCGGAGTCCCCATTCTATTGGCGGACGCCATGGGGGAACCACACCTGAATGTTCGTGCAGGCCTTAACCATTTCCAAAAGCATAGCACACAACAATTCATCCCTGTGTTCACCACCTTCACCCACTCCAGCTCCACGTCGGTGGAGGGAGAGGGAAGTCGTCATTCGGGGTCCGGAGCGAGTGCGGTATACCAGACGGGGTCCTGGGGAGTGGGGAGAAGGGACAGGGAGGAGGAGAGGGATGATATCGGGGGAGGGGCTGGAGGAGGAGGGGGAGCAACGGGGGGCGGGAAGGGGGCGGCAGCAGGGTGCGGGGAACCGCAGTGGGAGGGCGTGGCGGGGAGGGGACGTGGGGAGCTGGAGGCGCGAGGGGCGGGGCGGCATGGCAAAGGGGGAGGGGTGCGCGAGGGGGCGGGAGGCGTGAGGGGCGGCGAGGGGGGGGGCGGCATGGGGGGGCGGGTCCGGGAGGCCCGCAAGCCCTTCCTGTCCGACCTACCAGAGGCCGCGCGGGCCGACCCGCGGGCTGCCGCGGCCCCGTGCAGAAGAAGGAGAGGGGGCGAGCCAGACAGCATGGCGGTATCAACTCAAGCAGTGGCGAAGCGTCCCGGCTCGCTTATAGTCCCACCAAACAGTGTTCTAAGTACCTTTTGTGGTCTGCACGAAATGTTCACAGAACATGTCTGGCTGATATTGTATTGTTTTAACACATCGGGTTTATGCTCTAAGAGCATTGTTGTGGTTCTTAGAACATTTTTGGGTTCTAGGAACATTTGGTGGTAGGGCTATAGGAATGCCAGGACGGTCGGCCCCTGCTCACTCGACGTTGGCCATTGTTATGGTGAGGATGAGGATGAAAATGAGGATCATGATGATGAGGATAACGGCGACGGTGGTGTTGATGTTGAGGATGTTTTATGATGTTGTTGATCATGATTCAGAGGATGAGGATGAGGACGATGATGAGGATGATGTGTCATATCTTGATGGTAATGATGATGTTGTTGATGCTGATGGGTTTCATGATGTTGCTGATGATGATCCTGAAAATCATGATGATGAACATGATGCTGATGGTGATGATGGTGGTGATGATGGTGGTGATGATGGTGATGATTGCGATGATGATTGATGGCGACGATGATGATAAGGATATGACGGTGACGATGTTGATATTCATGATGATGATGGTGGGGATGTTGATGGTGATGACGACAACGACGACGGCGACGACGATGAGGATGTTGATGGTGACGATGACAATGATGATAATTCTGATGATGATGCTGACGATGATGATGATGCTGGTGATGATGCTGCGGATGATAATACTAATGCAATGCTAATTATGCTATTGCTGACTATGATGGTGAATCTAATGATGAGTTTGGCGATGATGGTGGCCATGACTATGCGGCTGATGGGTATGCGATACGGGCGCCGTTATTGTTAGTGCTTTTGCTGGTGATGATGATTTAGAGGATGAAAATGATGACAATGATGATGATGAGGATTCAGATTCTGATGCTGCTGCTGATGATGATGATGGTGGGGCTGATCACGATTATGATGAGATCTACAATTCTGATGGTGACGATGCTGATGGTAATAATCATGTTGATGATGGGGACTGATGGCGATGATGATGATTATGATGATAATGATATGACGGGTGATGATGTTGATATTGAAGATGGCAATGATATTGGGGATGTTGATGGTGATGACGACGACGATGATGATGATGATGATGCTGGTGACGATGACGATTATGATGCTGACGATGCTGACGATGTTGACGATGACGATGATGCTGATGATGCTTATGATGCTTGTGATTATGATGCTGAGGTTGGCGATGGTGATGACCATGATGATGCGGATGATGAATCTGTGGTGCGGGCGCTGGTGATGTTGATTATGTTGCCGCTGATGATGACGATCGTGGTGGTGATGGTAGTGTTGGTCGTGGTGGTCATTGTGATGGTGATGTCAGTGATGATGCCGATTATGATGATACTGTTGATGATGGTGATTATGCTATTGCTGATGATGATGATGGTGATGGCGATGATGATGATGCTGCTGATGATGTTGTTTATGACTATGCTGCTGCTGATTATGATGATGACGATGACGACGATGATGATGCTGATGATGAGAAGGAGGAGTAGGATGAATGTTGATGCTGATGTTGCTAATCATGGGAAGGTTTCTGATGCTGGTGCTGAGGATGAGGATGAGGGTCGTTCCCCATTTCTCGTTGCGAGCAAAGCCTTACGTGCAGTTTCTGTCAATTTTCGGCCTCCTGAGGCTCTCACTGGGCCCCAGGTCCCACAAACAACTACTCAGGATGAAAATCCGTTACCTGGAAAAGGGGCCCAGATTTGATGATTGTCGCCATGCCATGTTGGTAGTGATGATGCGGTCGTTGGCCTGCGGGGGTGGCCCTTGTTGCCACGGTAGGGCGCAGCTTTGACAATTTCTTCGCTTGGACCCCCGGCGTTTTCAGGGATCGATTTTGAGTTGCCATTGTTTTGACTCGCCATGCTCCAAGATGATGTTGGTGGCGGTGCTGATGATGGTGGCTGTTTGGAAGTTGGTGCCGATGTTGGTGAGCATGAGGAGCAGGAGGGAGAGGGGTAGGAAGACAAGCTAGGTGCGCTCGCGTCATATCTGACGTCCTACCCCTCCCTCCCATCCCTTACCATGGCGCTGATTTTCTCTATCCGCGGACGCGTGTCGTAGCGGACCTGTGGCTCCGCGCGCGCGTGCGTAGTGGGTGGTGGTGCGCGTGCGTGCGTGCGTGCGTGTGTGCGTGGTTGTGGTGGTGGTGGTGGTGGTGGTGGTGGTGGTGGTGGTGATGGTGGTGCTGGTGGTGGTGCTGGTGGTGGTGTGGTGGTGCTGGTGGTGCTGGTGGTGGTTGTGGTGGTGGTGGTGGTGGTGGTGGTGGTGGTGGTGGTGGTGGTGGTGTGTGTGTGTGTGTGTGCGTGTGTGCGCGTGTGCTGTGGCATGGCACGGGAAGTGACGCCAGCGCTGCAGCGGGAGCACGAGTCGGAACGGGCGGAAGCGCGGAAATGAGGCCAGCGCTGCAGCGGGAGCACGATTCGGAACGAGCGGAAGCACGGAAATGAGGCCAGCGCTGCAGCGGGAGCACGATTCGGAACGAGCGGGGCCCGAAAATGAGGCCGGCGCCTCAGCGAGAGCAGCATTTTGAAAACATTGCAGGCGAAAACCCAACTCCCGGGAATCCTGTGTGTAAAAAAGCAGGACGCGGGGGGGGTCGGCTACTCCCAGCACGCCATCAGGGGAAGAGGGAGAGTAGTATTCATATCGAGTAATTGTAGAGGAGGGTCAATGGGAGGCAGGCCTAATGGGGAGGATGAGGCGGGTGAGTGGGGTATGGGTGTGTAAGGAGATGGTGGTGGTGGTGACGGGGAGTTCATGTTGTTTTGTTGTATTTGGTTCGATTGTGCATGCTTGGGAGGCGCCCGCCAGGGATACGCGAAGCTCTGGGATGCCTCCCGCGCACACGGGTCCGACAATTCCTAGTACTCAGAGGAGCAACAGGTCATGACTATGATGAGACGTTCCAATGTCTCCAGGGCCCCATGATGTCCTCATGACCCATGCAGGCTGCAGGAACGAGGGCCGCTAGGCACTCCGGAATTCGGAGAACGTATCCTGAGCCAATGGCATCATGACATCATCTTCGTCTTGAGCACCGCCATGTTCCGTCGCCACCTCCGCCGCATCGGCAGCCTCCCAGCGGTGAGGAACACCATCGTTGGGAAAACCAAACGGTACCAATACCGCTACTCCCCTGACCTTTCCAGTGGTGCGTTCTGACCAGAATTTCGAGGCGAATCCAGCGGTAGCGACGAGGGCCTCCCAGGAGGCCCAACAAGGGGAGAACGAGAGAATGTCAGTGGTATGGGTACTTTCCCCCCTCTTGACTCCCACCAGCGGTGTGCTTCCCCCTCGTCAGCATCGCCCCCTCGTCAGCGAGCCGCCCCTCGGCGAGGGCGGCCCGGGCGGCGGGGGGCGGCGGCACCACGCCACACCCCGGGCCCCGCGCCGCGCGGAGGTGGACGCCGACATCCCCTACCGCGTCAACTTGGTGATGCTGGGCATGGCCGCGGATCAGGCGCGCGGGCAGCAAGACGTAGAGGAGGAAGAGGTACCCCACACCACTACCCTTCCCTCGTTTTCCCCGTCGTTGGGCCTCCTGGGAGGCCCTCGTGGCCACTGGATTCGCCTCGAAATTCTCGACGGTTTCCGACTCCTGTCAAGGTTCGACGCACCTGTCCTCGAGCACCTCACGTGCTCTGTGAGTGAGGCTTCCTTCCTTCCCCCTCCCCTCGTCGCCTCCTGCTCCTGCGCCTGTCTCTCCTTCGTTCCTCCTCGCCGCGTTTGGCGGTGCCTTTCCTCGAGCTCTGTGCCGCCCGCACAGCGTTCCTGCCTTCTCGCAGGCTTGGTCTGCGGGGGCTGGCGCCACAGTGCGACCCCCCGCCAGCTTTTCCAGTCTGCTGCCGTCTTCCGTCCCCGGGTCGGCTCTAATGAGGTTCGTTTTGTCCCTCGCACGTGCATTGCGGCGTTGGCCTATGTGCCTTATTTGCCAATCGTCTCGCGTTGCGCCCCTGTCGAGATTGACCCGCTCTCTGGAACCGTCCTTGGAGCCGCAGATCAAAACAGTGTAACCCCACAAGCCCATCCAGCAACGATGTCCATATGAGTTGCCCTGACCAGGGATGCGGCGAAGCATAAAGAGGAACAAAGGGATGGATGAACCGTCGTACCCCAACAGGGGGAGGAATGAGGAGGAATTGGAGGAGGAGGAGGAGGAGGAAGAGGAGAGGACAGGAGGAAGAGGAGGATGACCAGTGTAAGCCCAAGAGTCATCAACGATGTTGGAAAAAGCCCTCTCTCCAGGTTCCGTCTCCATGGGCTCCTACGACCTTTCATTGAAGGAACGGCCTCGTCGGAAAACAACCGTTTGAAATTTTGAAGCATGCCCCACCATAACCATGGGATTCCAACGCCACAGATCAACCTGACTATTGCATTTCAACGAGCCTGAATCGCGCCAGATCGCCTTTCCTGGGATTTCACCGCCGCGAATCAGCGTAACTGCTGCACCCGGATAAGCCTGAATCTCTCCAAAACACCATTTTTGGTACGTGGATCATGGGAGCCCGCAGAATTCTTGTAAAATTTATAGACGGATGTGCGCGGCGCCAAGGCGAGAGCCAACCACATTTTGAAGAGGAGCCGCCCTCAATCCGTGAAGCCTTTGCGAATTTGTAAAACGACTGCACGCGGCGCTAAGGCGAGAGCCACCTTTTGAAAACCACCCGCCCTCAACCCGTGAAACAAATTTTTGAAAACGAATGCGCACGGCGCTAAGGCGAGAGCCACGCTTTGACAAGGAACCGTCCTCCATGTGAGAAAATGTGCCAATATTGAAGCTTCAGGGTCAGAAGTGGTGAGGGAGTCTCAGGTGATCCGCCCGGTCCGCCCTGACAATTTGCCTCTGGGTGCAACAGGGGGAAGTTATTTAAAAAAAGGAATGCATTCGACGAGGAGGAGGAGGAGGAACATGGCGAGCTTGGGGGGGGGGCGCCTCTTGGCGGTCTGGGTGCCTCTTGGGTGCCTCAGAGTGCTTTTGGGGGGCCTCTGGGGGTTTCCTGGGAGTCTCTTGGGGGCATTTGGAGGGCATCTTGGGGCCTCCTTGGCCCCTGTTCGGGCCCTTTTCGGGGCGCCTCTAAACGCCTTGGAGGCGCTCCTGGAGCCATCTTGAAGAAATTGTCACAAGGGGGGGATACTCAAGTAGCCTTGCCCCTGTTGGGTGCCCGAGATCGCCTCCTGGACACTTTTTGGAGCGCTCTTGGGGCCGTCTTGGAGTTCTCTTGGGCCGCTCTGGGGGCTCTTACGGGCCGCCTTGGAGCTGTTTTGAGGCCTGGGAAGGCCATCGAAAGCAAAAAGGCGATACGGCCAAATTCATGGACTTTCTTTTGTTTTTGAAGGATGTCGGTCTCTCGGCGGCCATCTGTGAAAGTTCCATGGCCACTTGGAGCCATCTTAGAGCTGTCTTCGGGTTTCTTGGAGCGTCTTGGGGGCCATCTGTAGCCATCTTGGGTTATCTTGAGCTTCCATCTGTCAGGCCGCTGCGATGCAGTCCAAGCCGGGGGGACAGGAGCACGGCCATAGAATTGTGCTCGCCGCCGACACCGCGTTCATATTCGAGGACAGTCTTCGGGGTAGGCTCGCGAGTGCGGGACGCTCGACGAACTGCTTACACCATGTTCGGGGCGAAGGCTCGCATACCCTCGCACGCACACGTGCGGCTCCCACGTGCGGGTGCACGACCTTCCGCGGCGATGAGTATAGCGGCGACGACGACGCACGACGTCGATCGCCGAACGTCGAGCGACGACGAGGACAACGAGGGCGACAACGACGACGACGACGACGAAGACGACCAGCTTCGTCCGACGACGGCGACGACGACGGCGGCGACAACGACGAGGCCTCTGGAAGCTTCCGGACGGCGACCGACCGCGCCGGCGGCGGCGGCGGCCGACGGCGGCCCCGAGAGGTGGCGCAGTCGGCCTGCCAGAGCGCGGCTGCCCGGTCGCTGGTCGCGAGGCCCCCGCAGGAGAAGGAGGAGCTTCTGCCCCGCCGCTCGCCGCCGTCGCTGGTCGGCGGTCCGGTCGCTGGTCGCGCGGGGAGGAGGAGGCCGGAGAAGGAGGTCCGGTCGCGGTCGCGAGGCCCCCGGAGGAAAAGCAGGCGCGGTGCGCGGTCTTGCCGAGACCGGCGTTCGAAGATCTGGACCATCCTGGAGCATTGGGCTCGTCCCCTGGTGATATTTCGCGGGCGTGGCCGGTGGGGGGGGGAGGGGGGTCACGGGGTCGGTCTCGTCACGATTCATGCTGGTGCCGTTTGGACATGGCTCATTCCCAGAAGGCGCTGGGGCGAATCTTGACGTGACAAGGGGTGGGAGGGAGGGGGGGGAGGCGGGGCTGGTCACGGAGGTTGTTCGGCCACGCGCAGCGGGGGGCAGGGGGAGGGTGGAAAACTCCTTATAAACACCCTTGCTTCTCAGACGGCGCGGGCCTTGTCTATAAATGTAAGGCCCGCGCCCTCTAGGAAGCAGCCTCCTAAGAAGCCTTCCCCCCTCCCCCTCCCCCTTGTGCGCGCCGCCAAGTTGTGGCTGATAGTAACACCATGGGCGCCAACAGTACGCACCAAGCAAAAAACAGTGCACAGGGAGTGGGCGTCGGAGCAGTGGCAAGGCGCCCCAGCCCCGCCGCTCCCGCCGCTGGTCTGCTGCCGAGGATCCTCGAGGTCTTCGGGCGCTCGCCGCCCCGCCGCTGCCGCCGCTCCGCCGAGGAGGTTCTCGAGGTCTTCGGTCGCGCGGCCCCGCCGCTGCCGCCCTGTCTGCTGCCGAGGTCGGCCACGCGCAGAGGGGGGCAGGGGGAGGGGGGAGGGCTTCTCAGAAGCACTCCAGCTTCTGAGACGGCGCGGGCCTTCTCTGCAGACGCAAGGCCGTGGCCTTCTAGGAAGCAACCTCCTGACAACACACACACACACACCCATACCCGAAGGAGGGTTGGAGAGTGCTGTGGGTGCGTGTTGTCGGAGAGGGGTCCCCGCTCGAACGGGAGCGCCCCCCGGGGTCCGACAACCCGCACCCATACCCATAGCGGTATGGGTGCGTGTTGTTTTTTCGCCCGATGCTATCCTTGTCATGGCCTCGTCTTATGATGCCTTCCAGCAGCTGCGACTCGCCGTGGGTGGACATCCCGGACGGGGGTCTCAATGCTCGCCCTGAGCGGTCGGTTGAGATCGGAGGCCCTTCGCGCGCCGCCGCCGCTGCACGTTTCCAAGTCTCCGATGTCTCTTGGCATCGATCGGACGCGTGCATGTTTCTCGGCGCGGACAATCGAGGAGCATCGTGAACGTTTTTGTTTTTCCCCTCCCCAGGATACCCGGGCCAAACCCCCATTCCTCACCGGGTAATTACCGCTGCCGATCGTACTCTGAGGGGGTGGCCTGGACCCACCCCCCCTACATGCCGGGGGTGCACAGGCGATTGATGCGCCAGTGGCGCGGACGCACCCTGGCGGGTGCACGCCGCGGCCGCCGTTACCTTTACCCTCCCGCCCGAGCCCTCCCCCCTGGTCATTTCCCAGGCAATTACCCTGCGACGTACCCAACCCACGTGCATCAAATGGCAAGAGGAGTATGCCAACATTAGCAGGAACAGCGACAGTGTAGACGCGGCGATTTGCTGTGCAAGCTACATGGGATGCGCATGCGTTGCACGATTCACAGGACGACGATCGAAAGAACGAGGCTTGAGGCCCCAGGATCGAAGAAGAACGGGTACGGGAACGAGGGGTAGGAGAGGGATGGAATGGAGGGCGGGGGGGGCGAAAGGCCATCGCGGAAGCAGCAGCATGCATGGAGAAGGTGAGGCGGGGAATAGGACGACGATGAAAGTGGCGGGAGGAGACAGAAGACTGCCGCGTTTTTCAGGCGCGAGCTAAACCCGCAGCGCTGCCTGCGCCATGTCGTCGCAGAGTTCCACATGATAAAACTTATTTAGAGTGCAAGGAACGAGCGAGGCGTAGCTCGCCCGCTAGCTTTTCCGCCTCCTTCCCGCACATTTCAGTGCGGGAGCTGAACGCTCGCAGGCGCGCCGCCAGGTCTGCGGGAGGCCCGCGGGAAAGAAACTCAAGGCCGGGGTCGCGCATCATCAATCGGTTGTCCATCGTCCAAAGTTGCACTGGCGACGTACTGGTTGAACGCGGAGCGAGCAGCATCACGCGCGTGCCTGAACGCCACGCAGGTACAGTGCACGCGCGATTGGGACTTCAGGTCGATCACGCGCGTCTCCACCAGGCTTGGCAACGCCACGCGACAGAGGATCTCACTGCGGTCTGCCATGCTGCTGTCCGCGAATGCAATGCGCTGCCTGCAAGTAAGGCGGCGGCGCCCGCTTGTCTCAGAAGATGTCCCCGCGGGCCCGAAGGGCGACCGCCAGCTAGAGCCGCGGCGCCGGCAGGCCAGATGAGGATCATGCAACAGCAAAGACGATGACAGAGCAACGAGGTATCGGCGAGTGCATGACCGGCCTCCGTTGCCTGCACTTATTTCCTGTAGTTCCCCTAGCTCATCGAGCTCAGCAGATGTTTGCGCGGGCCCGAAGGACGACCGCCAGCTCGAGTCGCAGCGCCGACGAGCTGCATCACCCCAGGAGACACTGGCACACAACGATTTGACGTCAGTCAGTGCCAGACCACTCCATGTCTAGTTCCTCGCACACATACAGTCGATCGCAGATGCGGGATAATCGAAGTAGAATGACGGGTCCAATCTGCGTCCGCGTAGGACGTCACTATGCTGGACCCCGCAGCAGGTCTCGAAAGTGGCGACAGTTTCGTGGGCCCCACAGCAGCCCTCGAACGTGGCGACAGTTTCACAGATCGCAGACCCCCAGCGCTGGCGAGGTCTAATCTGAGCCCCGTAGGACGTCACTCCGCTGGCCCCCCAAGCAGCCTTCGAAAGTGGCGACAGTTTCACAGATCGCAGCCCCCCAGGGATGGCGAGGTCTAATCTGTATCCCCGTAGGGCGTCACTAGCCTTCGATCGACAGCCCCCCAGGGATGGCGAGGTCACTCCGCTGGGCCCCCCAGCAGCCTCGAAAGTGGCGACAGTTTCACAGATCGCAGCCCCCCAGGGATGGCGAGGTCTAATCTGAATCCCCGTAGGGCGTCACTCCGCTGGGCCCCCCAGCAGCCTCGAAAGTGGCGACAGTTTCACAGATCGCAGCCCCCCAGGGATGGCGAGGTCTAATCTGAGTCCCCGTAGGGCGTCACTCCGCTGGGCCCCCCAGCAGCCTTCGAAAGTGGCGACAGTTTCACAGATCGCAGCCCCCCAGGGATGGCGAGGTCTAATCTGAATCCCCGTAGGGCGTCACTCCGCTGGGCCCCCCAGCAGCCTCGAAAGTGGCGACAGTTTCACAGATCGCAGCCCCCCAGGGATGGCGAGGTCTAATCTGAATCCCCGTAGGGCGTCACTCCGCTGGGCCCCCCAGCAGGCCTCGAAAGTGGCGATAGTTTCGCAGATCGCAGCCCCCCAGGGATGGCGAGGTCTGATCTGAGTCCCCGTAGGGCGTCGCTCCGCTGGCCACCCCAGCAGGCCTCGAAAGTGGCGACAATTTCGCAGATCGCAGCCCCCCAGAGATGGCGAGGTCTAATCTAACTCCCCGTGGGGCGTCACTCCGCTGGCCACCCCAGCAGCCTTCGAAAGTGGCGACAGTTTCACAAATCGCAGCCCCCCAGGGATGGCGAGGTCCAATCTGAGTCCCCGTAGGGCGTCACTCCGCTGGCCACCCCAGCAGCCCTCGAAAGTGGCGACAGTTTCGCAGATCGCAGCCCCCCAGGGATGGCGAGGTCCAATCTGAGTCCCCGTAGGGCGTCGCTCCGCTGGCCACCCCAGCAGCCCTCGAAAGCGGCGACAGTTTCGCAGATCGCAGCCCCCCAGGGATGGCGAGGTCGAATCTGAGTCCCCGTAGGGCGTCACTCCGCTGGCCACCCCAGCAGTCCTCGAAAATGGCAACAGTTTCACAGATCGCAGCCCCCCAGGGATGGCGAGGTCTGATCTGAGTCCCCGTGGGGCGTCACTCTGCTGGCCACCCCAGCAGCCCTCGAAAGTGACGACAGTCTCGCAAACCGCCGCCCCCCAGGGATGGCGAGGGGCAAGCTAGGTAAAAGGCAAGCGAGAAGAGGAGGAACGAAGAGAGGAAAAGGGATGCAAGAGAGGAAGGGAGGAGAAGAGGAGGGGTAAGAGCAAAAGAAGAGAGGAGGAGGCGGGAGGAGGAGGAGGTGGAGACCACAGTGCCCTATTCAAAACGAGTACCCAACGCAGGAGGGTTGGGAAAAAACAGTTTCACCTTGCGAACAAAGGAACGCACGAGTCCGAAGCATGCACGGGGAATAGGTACCCGAGCGATGGCAATGTTCTGAAGCTCATCAGTCCAGAGTCTCCTTTGCCGTTTTCGGCCTCTGGGGGCCCAGGTCGGGTGTTGCTACAAAGGTTTTCCTTGCCCGAGTTGTCACCAAGATTCCCAAGAAGGTTCAGATGTCCTTCAGAGCACTTCCCCACGAGGCCCAGAGGGCCCCAGACGCTCCGGTGCAAAAAGCTGGGGACACCTTGGGCCAGGACCATTTCGTCTTGATTCTCTCGAGTTGGTGGTAGTCCAGCTACGATGTCAACGGCTTCCGCTGGGTATTTTTTCATCGTCGATTCCGAGTAGACCTCAAAGCCCCCAAACTCAGGAATGGCGTTCTTTTCTTAGACTTCCTCGCAATTCACTCGAGTTCGTGAGTGGCCCGCTGGCCTGCCAGCTCGCGTGACTGCCATGGCGGCGCGGTGCGCACACAGAGTGAGGGCATTGCCGAATGCTTCTCCTAAGAGCTGGTATGAAGAGCAGCACCCCTCAGCGGGGTTGGACCAGAGACATGGCTATAGTGACTGCAAGGGCGAGGGAGTCACGACCGAACGTCAGAGCAGTTTGTTGGATCACATGTTCGCAAGATGGTCGTCGTCTTTCTCGTCTTCGTCTCCGATTGATAGGGTCGAGGTCCGAGGGTCCAGCACAGCGGGTTTTTGACACTCATGAGCCTTGTTGGGCCTCTTGGGCCCCATGGCCTTGGCTGGATCCGCCTCGAGATTCTGGCCAGGACGCCCCCCCAGGAGAGTATTTGGGGTCGCCGTGGCCGCCGCCGTCGTCAAAGGTGGCAGTGTGGCACGGGCCAGGCGGCCTCATCTTGGACAGGCCTCGCAGATGACGAAGCTTCTCTGTCGAACACCGTCCAGACCAAGCTCGACCCCACTCCGCCACGACCGCCGAGGTGTCCTCGAAGCACGGCGAGAGGTGCCAGCGCGTCGAAGCAGAGAGGTGCAGCCAGCAGGTATCTTCGAGGAGCGGCGACAAGCGCCAGCGCGTCGAAGTGTGGACGTGCAGCCAGCATTGGGACACAACTCCTGGGAGGCTTGATTCAGCGTCTCGGTGGTATATCCGTGGTCGAAAGCGGGTCGCCGCATCTTGCATGATCCTGTTAACTTCCGTTTCATCCCAGGCTCAATCCTGGCTAATCTGGCTGATTGGTTTTCTACTCGGGCTTGATAGCCCCCAATCGTTCTCACGAGAGGCGTCCCAGGAGTTACTTCCTCATCACTCGTCCTCCTGACCAGCCTCGTCTCCGTTCTCGCACTCATATTCGTCGTCACCGCCCTCCCCGCAGGAGACCCGCGCTGCTGGGGGGGACTTCCTGGCGGAAGTGTTTTCCGCGGCCTCGGAGACCGCTGCTGGCGAGGACGCGGTGGGTCGGGGGCGGCGGCGACTTCGGCCCGCGGTCCTCGCCTTGTCTGCTGCATGACCCCCAGGCCTCGGACGCCTCTGCCAAGGGCGATCGGGGCCCCCACACGGTGCGGTGACCACACCGTGTGGTGAGCCAGTGGGGATTTCGCTTCACCTCACGGTCGTGGAACTTGGGTCGTTCTCCGGGCATGTCTCGGGCAAATGGCGTCCAAGTCCAAAGACCTTGCGGTGACGGATCGTGGGGTTCGGCCTGGGCAACGACGGTTGCACGCCAGAGGAAAACACCGCGATCTCAACGCGGCACCACCGCCGGAGCGAGGAGCAGCGGGGGTTTCAGCACCTTGGCGCCGCCTCCAGCGGTGCCCTGAGAGCGCTCCGCGACCCAGGGTTGGGGTGTTGAGACCGCCCCGGGCTCTGCGGGGAGTGCTTGTGCGCAGCCCCAGGCCTTACCAACCAGGGCGACCTCCAGCGAAGAGGTCCACGATGCCTCCCTGAATCTGGGGATAGGGGATGCCTCGAGCGGGAATTGGGGCCACACCACCAGGAGGTTCCCCGCCCGGCTCCTCGCCGCAGTGGTAGTTGTGCCGATCTCTCTGTTTCTGAGCATGGCTGGGGCTTTAAGATCTCCCATATTGCGTGGCCCCCTCTTCGTCTTTCCACCACGTCCCCTGCCCCCCCCTCCCCCCTCTTCGGCGCATCCGATCACGGCAGCGCAGCTCCGTGGTGATCGCGGAGCGGCGGAGGCGGTGTCGGAGAGCAATCTAGGTCGGAAGCATACTGTTGTTCGGAGGCACGCGCGGTCTTCTTGGACCAGCCTCCGGCGCCGCCCCTGGCGCTCCGCCCACCAGGGAAGGTGACCAAACACCGATCGAAGAAATCCGCGCGGACCTCGGACAGCTTATGCTTGCGCGATCTTCTTTGTGCTATGCTTCAGAACGTGCTGCAAGTTGCCGAGCACACCGGGGCGAGTAGAGGCTGTCGGGGCAAAGTCGCTTGTGAATTGGCAATGCTGGATCGCGGGCGTCACAGCTTGCCTCGGACGACTTGAAGTGAACACGGCCGAAGTTCACATTTTTCTTCGTCGGGTCCACCTCCGGCCTCAGCTTTGTCAAGAAAGAAGCGCTCGGGAGGCCAGCCTTGAGGGAGGGATCGAAAGGAGCTGCTGGGTTGCACCTGAATCGTGACCAGGGGTATTCGAACATCAGTTTACGTGGACAGCCGATCTGGAAGGCGTGAGTGGGTTTGCCCGCGAAGCGATTTGGAAGCACCTTGTGACGGATGGCGAATGCTCTCCTGCCCTCCTCTTGGACCAGCCTCTGTCCCCGGCATCGTTGCGGGGACGTCGGGCCCCTCTGCTCATGGTCCGTACCCGTTCGGGAGCTCGGGCCGTTGTCTTTGATGGCTGGGATTTCGTGCTCCTGCACATGGCCAGGGAGTGGCTTCACTGCTGCTGCTGTCATGGAAGGTTGGTGGGCACGCGCGCACGACTCCTGTTTGGTCGCTGTCCGATATGTCTGGCGGGATTGGACCAGGCCATGAAACCAGCGATTTGGTGAACTGCCACTTCGGCGCGGTTCACTTCAACTGTAGCTTCAAGAAGCTCTTATGTATACGCTGTGTCTGTTTACTCCTCTTGTCGCAGGTTATGTTGCATCTTAGAATTCCCGGCAGGCAATCATCGTCGTAATCTGAGGGTGGCGTTCTGTCCATTCGTTGATGTGACTTGTCGCTTTGCCGCATTTGGCAGCAGCGGCCTGGTTGGCTTATATGTATTGACGTGGTCTCCCGTCCCTCTGGCGTGGTCGAGGAAGATGAGGATAAGAGGAATGAGGATGATGATGACGATGATGATGAGGAGGAGGAGGAGGATGAGGATGAGTACGAGGAGGAGTTGAACGCAAGAACGCTACCTGGATGTTGTCGCGAACTTGCTCGATGACGCCTGCTTTCGGTTGAGGAGTGGTCGCGTGGTGATTGAACTGCTCATCTATCCGCTATTGTCGTCGCGGACGCAGGAGTAGTTAGTAGGTAGTGGTGACGGTAGTGGTAATGGCAGTGGTAATGGTAGTGATAGTGGTAGTTGTAGCGTTGGTGGGATTTTGTGTATCTTTATGACTCACATGATTAGTAGGAGTAGCAGTAGTAGTAGTAGTAGTAGTAGTAGTAGTAGTAGTAGTAGTAGTAGGGGTAGTAGTAGTCGTCGTCGTAGTCGTAGCCGTAGCAGCAGTAGTAGCCTTTACCGTAGTAGTCGTAGTAGCAATAGTAGTCGTAGTCATAGAAGAAGAAGTAGTAGTAGTAGTAGTAGTAGTAGTAGTAGTAGTTGTAGTAGTAGTAGTAGTAGTAGTAGTCGTAGTCGTAGTCGTAGTCGTAGTAGTAGTCGTAGTCGTAGTCGTAGTCGTAGCCGTAGTCGTAGTCGTAGTCGTAGTAGTAGTAGTAGTAGTAGTAGTGGTAGTAGTAGTAGTAGTAGTAGCAGTAGTAGTAGTAGTAGTGGTAGTAGCAGTAGTAGTAGTAGTAGTAGTAGTAGTAATATTGTAGTATGCATGGTAGTTGTAGTAGTCGGTGTCGACGTTGGAGCTCGTAGTCGTACTAGTAGTTGTAGCCGTAGTCGTAGTAGTCGTAGTGGTAGTAGTAGTAGTAGTAGTAGTAGTAGTAGTAGTACAAAATGTAGTAGTAGTAACAGTCGTAGTAGCAGCAGTAGTAGTAGTAGTAGTAGTAGTAATAGTAGTAGTAGTAGTAGTAGTAGTCCTAGTACTCGTCGTAGTAGTAGTAGTAGTAGTAGTAGTAGTAGCCGTAATAGTAGTCATAGTAGTACTGGTAATTGTAGGAGTAGCAGCAGTGGTAGTAGTAGCAGTAGTAGTAGTAGTAGTAGTAGCAGCAACAGTGGTAGTAGTAGTAGCAGTAGTAGAAGTAGTCGTAGCACTGGCAGTAGTAGTGGTAGTGGTAGTGTTAGGGGTAGTGGTAGTAGTAGCAGTAGTAGTAGTAGTAGTAGTAGTAGTAGTAGTAGTAGTAGTCGTAGTAGTAGTAGTAGTAGTAGTAGTAGTAGTAGTAGTAGTAATGCTATATGCTGCAGTAGGTAGAAACGGGTCGCAGTCGCAGTCGTAGTAGTAGTTGTTGTAGTAGTAGTAGTAGAAATAGCAGTGGTAGTAGTAGTAGTAGTAGTAGTAGTAGTAGTAGTAGTAGTAGTAGTAGTAGTATCAGTAGTAGTAGTAGTAGTAGTAGTAGTAGTAGTAGTAGTAGTAGTAGTAGTAGTGGTAGTGGTAGTGGTAGAAGTAGTAGTAATATTGTAGTATGCATGGTAGTTGTAGTAGTCGGTGTCGACGTTGGAGCTCTTGGCCTAATATTCGTAGTCGTAGTAGTGGTAGTAGTGGTAGTAGTAGTTGGGAGTGTTGTCGTCGTCGTTGTCATCGTCGCCGTGGTCGCAGGTGTAGCAGTAATGTTTCGTAGCATTAACAGCAGCATCAGCAGTGGCAGCAGTTGTAGTAGTAGCAGTAGTAGTAGTAGTAGTAGTAGTAGTAGTAGTAGTAGTCGTCGTAGTCGTAGCCGTAGTGGTAGTAGTAGCCGTAGTAGTAGCACTAGCAGCAGTAGCAGTAGTAGTGGGAATCGCCGTAGTAGTAGTAATACTCGCAGTGGTAACAGTAGTAGCAGTAGTAGCAGAAGTAGCAGTAGTAGTGGTAGTAATAACAGTAGTAGTATTAGCGGTCGTCGTAGTAGTAGCAGTGGTGGTAGTAGTAGTAGTAGTAGTAGTAGAAATAATAGTAATCGTAGTCGTAGTACTAGTAGTAGTACTAGTAGTCGTCTTAGTAGTTGTAGTAGTCGTAGTAGTAGGATAGGAGCAGTCGCAGTAGTCGTAGTAGTAGTGGTAGCAGTCATGGTCGCAGCAGCCCCAACGGCAACAGCAGCGGCAGCAGCAGCAGAAGTAGTAGTAGTAGTAGTAGTAGTAGTAATAGTATGTGTTGTGGTGGCGGCTGTGTTAGCAGTAGTAGTAGCAGCAGCAGCAATAGTAGTACTAGTAGTAGTAGTAGTAGTAGTAGTAGTAGTAGTAGTAGTAGTAGTAGTAATAGTAGTAGCAGTCGTAGTCGTAGTAGTAGTCGTAGTCGTAGTCGTAGTCATAGTAGTAGTTGCAGACATAGTAGTAGTCGGAGTAGTAGTAGTAGTAATAGTAGTAGTAATAGTAGTAGTAGTAGTAGCAGTAGTGGTAGTAGTAGTAGTAGTAGTAGTAGTAGTAGTAGTAGTAGTAGTAGTATTAGTAGTCGCAGTAGTGGTAGTCGTAGTAGTAGTAGCATTCGTAGTAGTAGTAGTAGTAGTAGTAGTAGTCGTAGTAGTAAGAGTAGTGGTATTAGTAGGAGCAGTCGGAGTAGTAGTAGTAGTAGTAGTAGCAGTAGTAGTTGCAATGGTAATAGTAGTCGTAGTAGCAGTCGTAGTAGTAGTGGTAGTGGTAGTAGTTGTTGTAGTCGTAGTCGTCGTAGTAGTAGTAGTAGAAGTAGTAGTAGTAGTACTCGCAGCAGCAGTAGTAGTAGTAGTAGTAGTAGTAGTAGTAGTAGTAGTTGCAGGAGTATTATTATTAGTAGTAGTAGTAGTAGCAGCCGTAGTATAGTAGCAGTAGTAGTAGTAGTAGTATTAGAAGTAGTAGTAGTAGTAGTAGTAGTGGTAGTAGCAGCAGTAGTAGTAGTAGTAGTAATAATAGTAGTAGTAGTAGTATTAGTAGTCGTAGCCGTAGTAGTGGTAGTAGTCGTAGTAGTAGTAGTAGTAGTAGTAGTAGTAGTAGTAGTAGTAGTAGTAGTAGTCGTAGTAGTAGTATAGTAGTAGTAGTAGTAGTAGCAGTAGTAGTAGTAGTAGTAGTAGTAGTAGTAGTAGTAGTAGTAGTAGCAGTAGTAGTAGTAGTAGTAGTAGTCGTCGTAGTAGTAGTATTAGTCGCTTTAGTAGTTGTAGTACTAGTCGTAGTAGTAGTAGCAGCCGTAGTAGTAGTAGTAGTAGTAGTAGTAGTAGTAGTAGTAGTAGTAGTAGTAGAAGTAGTAGTAGTAGTAGTAGTAGTAGTAGTACTAGTAGTAGTAGTAGTAGTAGTAGTAGTACAACATGTACTACTTCTCGGACGACCAGTTCACGATGAACAGGTATTGCAAACTTCAGGCGAGGAAGACATGGGATACCCCTATGGTTGCAGGGCCGTCATCCGCGCGGACCGCTGGATGCAGCTCCTCACCCTTGAGGGAGAGGCGGCAGGCCGCTGTGGCCAGCGCGTTGGCACTGCCATTGCGGGGCCCGATACTTCACGACCTACGGCGTGTGTACCAAGACGATCGACCATGAAGACCAGCCACCGAAGCCGCGGCACTTGCAGGTTCTTCGAGGAGGACATCAGGGACCAGGGACAAGTTCAAGACAGAGACCATCGCGGTGCTCAATCCCACGGACTTCCTGCAGCACCTGCCCAAGGTGGAGCCCCTGTCGGTTGGCGCGATGTTCAAGAAGCGTGCGCCCGGGGAAAAAGCGGCGAGGGGGGGGCATTGGGCGCTGATGGGCAACCTCTCGTGGGACGAGCTGCCCGAGTTGAACAATTGCGACCTCCATGCGCAGGTGGCA